GAGCATACCTTCAAGTAGTGTCGAGAAATATAGTTTCAATACTGAAAATATTTGTGATAGCCTTAAAATATATTTTCATCCTTATTTATAAAGTTTAAAGCTTCAAAAAAATAGTGTAGATCAATAGATCTATGAAAATTTGAAAATCTTGAAAATTGACGGTTAAAAAGGTGTTATAAAATACACAATTTCCAAAACGTGAAATCCATTTTTTTCTCATGTCCATGCATTTTGATATCGAGATGATCAATTTGAGAATATTTGGGCATCAAACAACCTATTCTAGTGAAATTTTTGAGGTAGGCTCAAATTTGATTGTTTAGAGCCTTGGTTTTGTGTAAACTTTTCCCATATATAAAGGTATTGCATCCATAGGCTGTGGACACTTACAAGGTGCACATTTTTTTAGTTTGAAAAAGCCACATCCGAGGGTTGAAATTAAATTTTTTTTTTATTTTTAATTTTTATCTTAAAAATAATATTGATATAGTCTTTGGTAATAAACTTCATTTTTATTGCTAGAATTGAATAAAAATAATCCAAAAATATTTTGGATAGAAATATTGATAAAAATTTAGGGGTGGTTTGGCTATTGTATTCTTAAACTATTTTTAATTTTTTAGTTAGTTATATTTAGAAAAATACACCCATCTCACAAAATTACTATTTTTAAATAAAAAATAAAAAATAAAATTTGAGACTAAGTCGTAGCCGTTGAATTTTCCTCATGAAATCTCAACACCTATCCACATGATGTGGGCATGTTTTTCCTTATAACAATTCCAAAAATAATATCAATCATGTAGAACTGTGAACACTGCCCAATTTGAAATTTAGATGGTTAGATAATTTATTATAAGGTGCACTTCCTTTTTTTATTACCAGTTACGCATCCATTTTTATTAGATTTATGTATCGAAATGTTCAATCGGAGGTTCTGCAAAAGGGCATTAGATATAAAATCCAATAAATACAATTGTACAACATTCAAGAAATTTTATTTTGGTCTTTGTGGTCAAGCCATGACACACCCTCAATCACCCAATCTCAAATCTAAGAGTCGATGATAATTGTAACCTCCTTTGTATCATAAGTAAATAGTAATTCAAAAAATTTTATTTTGGCCTTTGTGGTAAAGCGATAACATACCCTCAACCATCCAATCTCAAATCTAACAGTCGATGATAATTGTAACCTCCTTTGTATCAGAAGTAAATGGTCACATTATATATATTTCTTTTATAAAATCGAAACAAACGTTTTTTCGACAGATTTTATATTCATTTATTTTATTTTATTAATAAATATAAAAATACTGTACAAAAACGTTTTCTAATATTACAAAAGACTTTTTCCAGTGGTATAATACTTGATTTTGGGTTGTTTTTTTCTCCGGTCTTTGCTCCCAGTTTTTGCATCCGCAGGATTGAATATTCACAGTCCATAAATTCCCAACCACTTACTCTCTTAAACTGTTGTTTAGCTAACCTTCATATATATATAATATATCCTTATTACATATGCCAACAGCAGTTGCTAAGCATATTGAGTTCATGATGAGAAATTTTCTCTAGGGCTCATGTGGTGAGGAGAGAAAATATCACTAGGTGGGATAAGGTTTGTACCATAGTTACCGATAGCGAGAGTGGGAACGGCTTCGGTTTTGGGAACAGGAGCATCGGATCGAGGGCTGCCTAAAGCTTTGGAGTTTGGGGAGCGAGTTTCGGTGAGGGTAAAAGTTGCGGATCGAGATCCATATGAACTGGGAGCACATTCCCGATACATTGGGATCGAGGTCCTTATTTAACAGGAACGCGTTCCATGTAAAATGGGATCATGTTCCAAAGTTCATTAGGATCGCACTCTCATTTAAAGTTGAGACGCGCCCCCATCTAAAAAAAATGTGTTCCTATGTAGAATGGATCGAGCTCCATTCAAGGTTGGATCGCGTTCTGCTTAACTTGAAGCCAATCTCCGCCTGTCATCTCTTTCTATCCCTCTCTCTCTATCTCTCTCGCTCTTGACCAGACATTCACTACCTCTTCACATTTACCACCTCTTCAACCTTCGCACCTGTAATTCAATAGACCCATCTGCCAAAAAGCACCATTCTCTCTCTCTCTAACTTCATGAACACATTCGTTTGACTTCACAGTGAGTAGACTCTTTCTTGCTTATTAGAAGCACAACAATAACAAAAATCTACATACCCATCTTAACCTCGCTTGCTAGAAGTTCGAAACCTCCATGACGATCTCCAAACCTCCATGACGATCTCCAAACAAGCTCTGAAAATGGCTAAAATCTTCGATGAAAACCTATTCACTGGATAACAGGCAACTTCATGGTTGTGAAGCTTGGTGATATCCTTGACAGAGATAAGAGTTCAAGCTCCTTTATTTTTTAGAAAAAGTCAAGCAAGACATAGAGAAATCAAATGGGAAGCTGTTAATTATATAGGGAAACCATGAACGCCTGAATATACAATAAGATTTCAAGTATGTTATAAAAGTTGGCCTTGACGAATTCAAGAATTGGGGTGACTGGTTTTCTATAGGAATTCAAATGAAAAACCTTTATAAAGGATTGGAAAAGAAAATTAACATTTTTAATGAAGTACCCAAAAATTATCCATCTAAAATTAGGACTAGAATAGCTGCTTTGAGTCTTAGAGACTCAATTTCTACACGTTTTTTAGTTGATAACCCTACTATTTTAATGATGGGTGGCTTTGTTTTTGTTCATGATGGGATCCTCCCTAAGGATGGAGTTCCGGGAACGAAGGGATTGCAATCCTAAAATTATGGCAGCGGGGATCTAATTTGTTCGGGAACACATTCTGTGCGATAGCGGGAGCGAGTGCCGTTGTGAGTGAGATCAAAAATCCTAAAAATAGGAGCGAGCTCCCAAAATCTTGGAAACAGGTTTTGGAAGAGATCTTGACCACAGAGTGCCAGACCTGGGTTCCGGAGCGGGAGTGTCAACCTAGTGGGGCGCTCCCGATAACTATGGTTTGTACCCAAAAGAGGGGTGGTTTAGGTTTGAGGAGGATTTCACTCATGAATGATGCACTTCTTTGTAAGTGTTGGTAATGGAGGAGTATTCAGTTTAAGGAGCAGCTTTGGTGCTAAGTTATAATAGCCAAATTTGGGATGGATAGGCAAGGGATGTGGGTAGCTAGAGGAAGTGGCAGGGCTAATATGTTTTTTTAATGAAAGGATATATATGCGTGTAAACCGGTGATGGATCGAAATGTTAGATGGTTTGTGGAGTCAGGGAACTTCGTGACTTTTTGGCACAATGGTTGGGTGATTTCACCTTGAAACTAGTCTACCCGCAACTGTTTGAGAAAGTTGCAATGCCAAATGCTAGGGTCGAAGATTTGGTTGAAGTTTGGAATGATAAGATCAGGAATAACACCTTCCCTTATGATAGATTGCAAAATGACCTTTATTTTCTTTTGATGAATATTTTGCAGGATTTGGAGAGTACCTACATTGCATAAAGAGGATGATTTTGTATATGAGGTAGAATGTGATGGACAGTTTTCGCATATAGACTGCTTTTCAATGATAGAAGGCGGTGGTCTTTACCTATGATTTCTCAAGTATGGAATCTCAAGTATGGAAATGATTTATCCCACATAAATGTAAGTTTTTATTTGGTTGACAGCCCAAAATAAGATTCTTACTTTTTATTTGGTTGACAGCACAAAATAAGATTCTTACTTATCACGAATGTGTGTTTGATGCATAAGGGATTCTTACTTATCACGTATCACGAATGTGTGTTTGATGCATAAGGGATTCTTACTTATCACGAATGTGTGTTTGATGTATAAGGAAGGTGAAATGGAAGCCGATTTGTTTATCCATTGTTCCTTCATCTCCCATAATTTGGTATTGCTGTTTTTCAAATGATGTGGACAAGTATGGTCTTACAACATAATGTGTTGGATATTATAGCCCATATTCCAAAGGTGGGGTTCGCTAATTGAAAAATTCTACAGGGGTCATATTTGGTTGGAGAGGAAAAGGTTTAATCAAGGAAATATATACAATGAAGGGCTATAAGTAGATCACAATGGTTACTTTCTTCATTATTGTCCGTTAGGATGCCCTCCATCTACCATTGATCCCAGCAATCTCATGTGATCATAGGAATCTACCGTAGATGGATTAAACCCACGAGATAATTTGTTCATGTACCTTATTTATTTATTATTATTATTGGGATATAATTCATGGCCCCCTATCCTTCCCTATCCGTTTTACCAAGTGGATTAGAAGTTTAAGATCCGTTTTATCAAGTAGAGTAGGAATTTAAGGTTTTATCATTTCTTTTACCTCGGATCTTCTTGGAGTGGTGGTCTACACACCGAAAGCTCCTACTAAATTTGAATTTTAACGATTCATATGACCCCAAGTTCATACAAATATGGACATCATCAATCGAGTTGCAAGATCGAGCAAACAACCATCATACACAACTCCCACAGCAATTCAATAATCTCGTACTATTTGGATAGCTTACTTGGGAAGTCCATTAAAAAGGGTAGTATTTCAAAACAAATCTTTAAAAAACTCACCAACAACTGTTTCAAAACAATGTTCAGGGGCTCGATTTCCCCTCTTGAATTAACCCCCACTCAATTGAGTTACTTTTGTGTGTGAGAGAGAGGGAGAGGGGTAGTTTAAGAAGTAGCAAGTCCAAGAGAGCTGATTCTAAAGAGTCTTGTTATAAGAAAGTAAAATGGTATTTCCCGAAGGATACAACACCCTCAAAGAAGGCATGGCAAAAGACAGGAGAATAAAAAAGCTAGAGGAAATTGAAAATGACATTCTTAGTTGTTGGTGTCGTCCTTATTTTTGTCTCCTCCCATGCCCACACTGCTCTTCACAGTCTCCACCTCTCCCTGCGCCGCGCTTTTCACTTGCTCCCCAGTCTGCCAGGCCACAAAAATATCAACAATTCTCAGTATTTACATTCTTCATCTGTCGAAAGAAGAGAAATTACAACTGCCAAATCACGTGGTTCGAATTTCCCTTCGAAGCAGGAAGGGACGACAAAGAAAGAGTAGTTGTTGAAGGCAAACCTTTTCAAGAATCCCTCCGGTCTGCTCCTTGCGCTCATGGGCGGTGTCGCGAGTGCCCTGTGCAGTATCGGAGGCCTTCTCCTTAGTGTCGGTGGCCGTGTCAGATGCCTTCTCCTTGGCGGTGGTGTCGGGGTCCTTTGCAGACTGCATACCGGAGCCGGCCTTCTCTTTTGCAGCCTGCATCCCACTGCCGGCCTTCTCCTTTGCAGCTTGAGCAGTCTCTCTCCCCTTCTCCATCATCTCATCTTTCTTGACCTTTCATAAAAGCGAAAAGAACTTTCAAAATTGTGAATTTTAAAACACATTGCAACAACAGTGATTATATTTATTTGTTGAATCATTGGGTTATTCTAGGTTTCTATCCTCAAGCTTGTAACCTTGGTTTTTATGTCTAAATTTTCCACTAAAGCTCTTTTGAATTTCGTCATTCATTGGTTTCATGGGGCAACAAATTCTTTAAAGACCTTAGTCTTAGTTTTTAACCTGTAAGCCTCTCACTAGGACCCCGTTTCCACGCGGCCAAGCCCGCATATGTATAAATGCGGGCCTATTAATAAATGTTACTTAATTTTTAAAGACCGTAATATTTAACACGAAGATCATGAATATCAAAAGTTAAATAAAATTTTAAATCTAAAAGTAACAAGAAAACATTTAGACGGTAAGTTTACATTGTTTTTAGACATAACACCGACTTGCAACCATCTATAAGATGGATGCTATACCATTATTGAGACCACATATGTAATTACGTGGTCCAGGCCACATGGACGATTTTCCCTCGTTATGAATCTTTGGGGTAAAACAAAGAAAACACAAAAAAAATGCCAATGAGAAAAATTGATACATATAAGGGAAAAAGCCACAAGAACATCTTGCTTAATAGAGACTACACACTATACATTATATTCTTGCCACTTACATAAAACAACATGACTACACACTCTACATTATATTCTTGTCTTACATAAAACAACATGTTAAATGTGTGTGATAGAGAGAGAGAGAGAGATGCCTAGTAAAAAGATGAGTTAAAAGGGGGTTAATATTACTAAAAGAGGATGAAGCCCTCTAGTCAAATTCTCTCTAGTAACATGAGAATACACTTTTTACTTCTTTTTTTTTTTTTTGTATTTCCATTACCCATTAATTTGTTTTTAAAAATACTTAACTTGGCCTCATTCAGCATTTGAAATGAAATGCGGAATATGTAATTTAAGCCCTAAGATGCTTCACAAGGGGCTTCAATCCCATGAGAATAAAACCTCCTTGTTTTACATTAGGAATAAGGAACACACCGTATTAAAAATGCAAGTTGTTATCGGCGTTTTTGTCATTTTGCTTAAGCGTATCAAATTACAAAAAAAATATCCCTACTTATTCCTCATTACTAATACTCAAAAGTGAATCCCTTCATTCCTTATTTTACCTGCAAAATAACTGAGAGGTATTTTTGTTGGTAAGTAGGGTCAACTACACGTATTTTTTTAAAGTTTCGGAGAAGGCTTCAGATTTTTTTTTTATTATTTTAAAATTGAAATAAATAAAAAATATATTTATATATATAACATATACATCGAATAAAATTAAAATCAAAATAAAAATAAAAAAATAAAAAATAAATTATATAACTATTTTTTGGCTGGCCAAAGCAGACCGAAGCACACCCAAAACAAACCCCACGCGGTCAGATTCTAACCGAAGCGATCGCACCAAATTTCGCTTCTCTTCAATATGCTTAAAATTTGAAGTTGGCCGAAGCAAATCGAATTTGGTAACATTGGAAAAAACGTTTAGGCCAAAATACTAAAAGCCTCTTATTGCTCTGCCTTCCCAAAAAAACCTAGACAAAGGCAATTTAGGTATTTTAATTTTTTTTGAAAGAGGCATCTAAATAAAAATAAAACGGAAAAACAAGTGAAGTACTCAAGGAGTTAATAGCAATAATTTGACGTCCTTAATGAAGGAGACCATTGCAGTTTTTTGGTTTTTGGGTAATTAAGTGCGGATGACGAACCCCTTTCGAAACCGTTAATATGTTTTTAATGCGTTAGACAAGAATAAAAGCCAAAATCTTAGGGTACAAATTAATAGTACCACTCCGTTAGATAGATGAAAATGGAAGCCAAAACCTTGACAAGATTACAAATTACTTCTACAACCCCAAGCACATTATCGAGTCCACCCCCCCTCAATTAAACATAAAAATCAATATTTAAGTAACCACATAAACCCACCTGAACTTGGCCCTTGGTTTCTCCAGCGCTGTGGCTAATATCCTCAGATCGCTGAGCCATTCTCTCTCTTTACTCCGAACAAACTCGAAAGTCCAGCAAACTCGATTCACGAACAGAAGCCCACACTACAAACTCGACTCCTTCCGCTAACAATGTCCCAATGCAGTACCACCTACGTATACTCCTGTATCAGTTTATAGGTCTTGTGGATTGTCTTCAACTGACACGTGTTCCTTTAATGGTATCACGAGTTGCCACGTTTGAGCTCGTGTCGTTCGCTTATCTCGTTCGCTTTAGCTGCTTCGTGATTATCGCGCACGTGCTTACGCATGGTTGGGTTCTCGTGTCTATTACGGCGTTGTGTTGTCCTTTTTGTATTAGGTGAGTAGGTGTCATGGCCATGCACGTATCCGCGTGTCAGTTTTACTTATAACGATCTTTGCTTTCTTTTTGTCGTTTCCTTTGGTTTTGTCTTGGTCAGTGTATGACTCGGGACTCGCAGTGGGCGTCGAGTGGTATTAGTTCATCGAGGGTCACTAGGGTCTTGGTCCAGTCCTACAAGAAAGAAAAAAGATGAGGCATGGGCATGGTCTAAGAGCCTGGCTATCACAGCTCAGCTCGCTAGGCTAGGGGCTAGGCGAGATCGGCTTGGTATTCGGTAGGTGCCATCATATCAATATCAATGGGCGTATTTTAAAAAAATATAAATTTATTTTTTTTGATAAAATATAATGATAAAAAATATTATTTAAAATTTTTAATAATATTTTAATTATTTTATTTTATTGAAAATTTTTTATTTTTATTTTTTATAAATAAGAGTTTAAGAGATGAATGATGCCAAAAATTAACATAAAAACATTTTATAAAAATAATAAAAAACAAATAATATAGCCATATGACAAGACCATTTCGGCCATTCAATCTGGATAGTTGGATAGGGAGTAACATGTAAGTTTAGGGAGTAACATGTAAGTTTTATGAGTAAAAAAAGCGTCGAAAGTTTGCCTATTTTTTCTTCCCCTATTTTTTTCATTTGGCCTTGGTATAAAAGAATCAACACCAAGTTTGGCAGCTGCTCTTTGGGCCTAAATAGGACCGGGCCGACCATAGGGGTAGCCCGCCCCATTCTAGCCCGAAGTCTCATGACAGGACTCACGCAAAATAGCTTATGAACAAAATAAGACCGTAAGGACGAGTTGATTTGAATCTTAATACCATATTGCAATTTGATAAAAAGGGTGCGGTTTGTATAGAGCTGATGCTTTAAAATATCAAAGTATAGCCCACCTTTAAATAGTGTCGGGAAATATGGTTTTAATATTGGAAATTTGTATGTCTTAAAATATATGTTCATCTTTAATTAATCTTGAAATTTGACGGTCCAAAAATACGTTATAAGATGCACTATTTTTTAAACTTAAAATCCATTTTTTCTCATGTCCATGCATCTCGATATTAAGATGATCAATTTGAGGATATTTGAGCATCAAAACAACCTCTTCTAGTGAAATTTTTGAGATGGGCACTAATTTGATTGTTTAGAGCCTCGGCTCTATAAAAACTTTTTTCATGATAAAAAGGCATCTCATTTTTAATTTATTTTAAAGATCTTTTCCCTCCATATTATCATATTTAGCTCTTTAACGAAAATTCTCGTTAAGAAATACCCATGATCAAATCATATATCTAGTATTCTCCATTTATTAAATGTTCTCACTCTCACCCTCATTAGCAATTGACTTTGATATAAATTACACTCTCACCCTCATTAGCAATTGACTTTGATATAAATTAAAAGCATAGTTATCAAGATCGGGAGCCACATGACTAGAGTCTAACCGATCGGAGAGCCCATCATGCCCTGGCCGGTCTACTTCACAGTTACTCGAATGGTAAACAATTGGTCAAAATTAGTCTTTAATTGGTCCGACCAACTAATTCAAACTGATTTAACTAGCTGAACAAAGTGGATAACTTTTTTATTTTTTAATAAATTACATATTTTAAGCTATTATTTATATTTTTAATATTTTAAAAATTCAATCAAATTGATTCAATTGACAGACGCATCAATTTTAACAAAACCAAACCCCTTGATGACCTAATAACTATTCTGATTTGATAAAAGTTGTAGATGTCAGTCATTTAAAGTTTCGAAGTTGTAGACGTCAGTCATTTAAAGTTTTCTAGAATGAGCCTCTATAACCCACGCCCGTATGTATAGGTACAATATCGTCTTAAACTAGGTTAATATCCACCATTTATCGTCGGAAGGGAAAAATGCAAATCCTATGTCGTGTGTATATCATCCAAACACAACGTAGATCACATGTAACATATTATACAATTTTGAATTACATTTATCATCAAGACCACACAAATAAGGGTATATAAGATAAGGAAAAGTATATAACGAGACCATTTATCTTTGGTACAAGATGGTCACAATTAATCTTCATCATTACATATGAAATTGGATGACTGCATTTATTTCATTGACCAAGCTCAATGTTCAAAAGAAATTTTCTCGGACTTTGAGACACGCCCATGTTAGAAAATATCTTCAATTTGTGGTCTAACGATAATTGTATAAGGGTAATATTATCCACAATTTAAGTGAGTCTACTATTCAATATTAAGCTAAGGGTTAGTGATAATCTCCCTCACTCTCTCTTAAAGATAACTACCTATGATGGGTTAGGATAAAGGAAAGAAACATTATAAAGAAAGGTTATAAGGTGACAGTCATAACTCTTGCTCATTCTCCATAAAGAAGTTTCCCAACAGCTTGGAAGAGAAAAAAGGTGAAGGCCGATCTCTTCATTTAGATCATGAAAGGTATGTTTATAACTATTGTTTTATTTTTGTTTTTCGGTAATCATGAACAACGATCCAAAAAAGATTTACATGTTTTTCGTATTCTTAAATCTATAAATCTATAGTTTATTTTTACATGTGATATCAAAGCTTTGGTTGATTTGTTCATACATACTTAAACGATAAAAGTTGATGATGAGATGCTTAGTCAAGAAAATACATATTTCATCGAAAAAAAATGGGAAGGGTTTGTGCTCTTATATGTCTCTATCAAAACGGGCAATTTTTCAAGATGGATCATCTTTGATGATTGGTTTAATCAAATTTGCGATTGTTGCTTACTTTTTGGCAATTGATATTTTCGTTGTTTTTACTTGATTTAAAGACAAAAGGCAGAAAACTTTTAGCTAATGGAGATCTATTAATTACCGTATATTTCTCATGTGGTAAGGATTAAATTTAAAGGGAGAAGCAAAAGAATTAAGTATATTTCTAAGGATATATATCAAAGACAATTTATATTTCGAAAGGGTGTGGTTTGTATAGAGTCTAGGCTCTAAACAATCAAACTAGAGCCTACCTTCAAGTAGTGTCGAGAAATATAGTTTCAATACTGAAAATATTTGTGATAGCCTTAAAATTTATTTTCATCCTTATTTATAAAGTTTAAAACTTTAAAAATAATGTAGATCGAGAGATTTATGAAAACTTCAAAATCTTGAAATTTGACGGTCCAAAAGTGCGTTACAAAATACACTATTTCCAAAACTTGAAATCCATTTTTTTTCTCATGTCCATGCATCTTGATGTCAAGATAATCAATTTGAGGATATTTGGGCATCAAAACAATCTCCTCTAGTGAAATTTTTGAGGTAGGCTCAAATTTGATTGTTTAGAGCGTCGGCTCTATATAAACTTTTCCCTTTTAAAAATGCGCTACAAAATATACTGTTTCCACAACTTGAAATCTATTTTTTTATCATGTCCATGCATCTTGATGTCGAGATGATCAATTTGAGGATATTTGGGCATCAAAACAACCTCCTCTACTGAAATTTTTGAGGTAGGCTCTAATTTGATTGTTTAGAGCCTAGGCTCTATACAAACCGCACCCCTTTCTAAAACCGTACGATATATTTAATGGGTATAGTTTTTGAAAGGTATATTTCTAAAAACATATAGTATACTAAAGACCTTTTGGAAGGCATATTTTATAAGAAATATAATATATTTGGAAAGGCAAATATGCTGGGTAAGTGTTTGGCGTTTGCGTTCGCCGGATTTTATTTGCCTTGCTTTAACTCATGGTTTGGCACATGTGCCCTATTCTTGGGTCATACGGTAATGAGCTGTAAGCTTCCTATTTCTTATTTATTAATGAAAAACGGGGAGGGGGACCTTTTCCCCCACTAACTTACCCAAAATAAAAAAAATGCTCGGTAAGTTAAACAATAAAGACAATGGAGATCTCGAAGAAAGAAAAATGATGTTTTCTGAGGATATGCTTTGCGACTGTTTTGCTACCTCTTCCAATCCTTTCACCCCTGTTGTATCCAAAGTAAGATTCAGGAGTCTTCCAGAGAAACATAGGAAGCCCTTTTCTATATGATCCTATGGAAGCCCAAATATAACCTGTAATGGAGATTGGGGAGTGTTTTCAACAGGGACTTGACTCCTTATTGAGATTTGAGATTTGTTCACATTTTTCTGCCTTATTGAGATTCGAGATTCGTTCCCATTTTTCTGCAATCTACTTTTGATATAGTATATGTATTAAGGTAGTTATCTCATTTTCTCTCTTTTTTTTGCTGATGGAACTATGTCGTGCTCAAGTTATGTATAGTATGGGAAGCTTGTATCATGTAAAGCAACACATATTGTGTATGGTATATTTTTCCTTTCTAAAGGATTCATGTACAAAATATATATATTTTTTATTTGGTTTCCTTAGTTATGAGATTTATTTGGGTAGTACTGATATAAGGTCCCTTATGTGGGATGCCCTATCTTAATTCCTTTGGAAAGAGCAATGATCCAATACAACGGTTGTATCATAGTATAATGCAGTGACACTTCTAGAAAACCATGTTTGTGGTATTTGTATGACCCTAAATTTTGCAAGCACAATCTCTTCATCTCAATAATCAATCCCCCCCCCTCGCCCCCCAAAAAAAAATTCAAACCAGATTGCAAATTTATTTATGTTATTGTCTATTGTGCAATCTCTTATCCCTTAGCAAACTAAAATTTGCTTATAGTAAATAAGTAAATTAATAAAAAGACCAAGTTAAATTGGTTTAGTACATTAAGGGTGGTGATCCTTATTTTAAACCAAATATGTTGGAATGATTGTGTAACCACCAAAGTGGTGCAA